CAAGTCATTTAGATCATGTGACTTTCATAGTAGATGTCATCACTTCAGGTCTTTCGGCATATCATATCATATCAATAAGTCTCCTTATTACTCACTTTTCATATTATTTAGGATTGCATCATAAATCTTATTTTAAAGAAAAGTTTATCAGCCCACCCCCCTGTACAGGGTAATATATCTCCATCCAACCTGAATAAGTCAATAATTTTTGTCAGCCTTTCTTATATACATACATTTCACAGCATATATAGCATAATAAACATCTATTATCACACTCAATGTTCAATTCATTGTATCATATTAATGCATGTAAAATTTGTATATGAACAAAAATTAGTGAAATTTATAAAAAAAAAAATGAATAAATTCTCTTTTTTATCATGTATGTGACCATTATAACAAGTATGCATATCATACATTGATATTATAAGATTTTAATAATTATTTATCTAAAATTTTCAAATTAGGAAATGTCCACCAAAATATAAAATTACCCAGTAAAAATTTAATATATTTATGTCAATATGTGTAGAATAATTAAAACTATAACATAATAAAAATTACACAATGGAAGTTTATTAAAATTAAAAATATCACAACTTTTATATATTTTGATCAAATTAAAATTAATAAAAAATAAAATACACAAAATCATTGGAATCAAAGATAGAGAAATGATAGCCTTCCTCGAGATGAGGAAATTTACTAACTGGACTAACTGATAAAAATAGCTCCAAGACCTTCAATGTCTAGGTTTTCTCTCCTCTCTCCTTTTTCCTCTCCTCTTTTCTATATTTTTCCTTTCTCCTTCTCTATTAAACACAAATTGGGATGGCAAATGGCTTATTAAGATATTTTAAATAAAATAATCTTAGGATGTATACATAATTATGCTAATTGCATAGTTTTTAGCATAAAATCCTTATAATCCTTTTATATCTTCAAATACATTGATCTAAAAATTATTAAAAAAAATATTCATAAAATATTCCAACATGTCTAGAATGCTTTGATAAAATCGATTTGCAAAATGGATACCCAACGGTCATAGAAAACCCGCTTGCACCTACTAGTATCAATTTTATACAATGCCTATAAAATTAGGATAAAATTATTATAATTAAAGTACAATAATATCTATGTTATGGAAAAGATGGTTTATAAATTAAAATTATAATGACTACTAAAATATTATTTGATTGGATCAAAATATGGTCATACATCTTATATGGCTCACTTTCAACACCTTAAATGCTTGCTCATGGCTAGGATATTTCAAGTACTCAAATTCTCAATATGGAATATCACTACTTATTAGATTTGTTCTTTTTTTATTCTAGAAATATGTATTAAAATCATTCAATCATGCTGCTTCCATTCCTTTTTTTCCATGGTAGCATTTTTGCAAAGAAGCTCAATGTGATCTCTTGGGAGGTTACTACAAGACCATGAGCTAAAGGAGGCTAGTTCTACTTTTTATCCCCTCTATCTCCTATGGTTTCAAATAAAGATTTATCTAGAGAATTATGAGATGTAATAATATCTTATCTTTTTGGTTTGGGTTTGTACGCTTTGATTTGGAACCATATAATCACAAAGTTTTCTTTTCTTTTTTTTTTTTAAAGTTTGTGTCATTGTTAACTTCATTAGACCTCATCTCTCTTCTTTTGTTGGGGATGAGTCTTTCTTCTTGCTATTTGAGATTCTTTGTCTAATGGCCTTAGATGTGTTGTGTTGGAGTCTTTGCCTTTCACTTTGACTACTCACTTCATTGATCTTATTAATGGTTAGATGACCACCTAACGAGTTATTTTTGGGAACAATAAGAATTAAATTATAAGGTTGCAAGTTAAACTCTTGTTCAAAGGAAATTCTATGGAAGGGCATTGATGGTCCTTCCTTTAATTTATTTTATGAGGCATCATATGATCATTTGCCTGAGGTGATTTGGTATCGAAATTTTTTCATTTGCTTCTCCATTTATTAATAGCTTGCAATTAATGGTGGGATCAATTATTTTGATGCCCTCATTATGAGAAACATTACTAGGCTTCAAATTTTCAATTATGTTGGAATAAAATTGAGACTCTAAGCTACCCTTTTTTTTTTCTTGCTCTTTTTCCAATGAAATCTTAAAAAGGTGGCTCCCACATCTACCTTAATTATTAGTCCCTATTTTCTTCATAACTTGCAGCACATTAATTTAAACAATATTTCAAAAGGCTTTAAGAAGTTTTATCTTATTTTGATGTAATGCATCATAAATCATATTTAGAGGGAAATGAATAAAATAAATTTTAGAAGTAATTTTGCTAGCTTCTCCTATATTCTAGTTAATATCAAAAGAGCTATTTGAGCTAAGTTAAATAGATGGAAAAGAAATCAAGCATGGGCAAAAAATATTTATGCTTTCTAGTTTTTTAGATGACATGTGTGGATTGATATCAAGTTCTTTTTCTATTGATGGTGTAACTAAAATTATAAAATTAGCAAAAGTCCAACACTAAGATGGGATAAATCTCATTATTTCTTACCACTTGATTATCCAATATCAATCATCAGCTGACATTGACTCCCACTACTGCATAGCACTCTACACCAATCAAGTATTAATCATTGTTTATCAACTAAGATTGACACTCATTCTCACTTACTACTTAACCAATGTTTTCTGAGATCCATAATCAACTAATCTCCAATGTCAACTTTCAAAATTTTGATGACAACCAACTCTTAATGGCCATCAACACCCATTGTTAATACATATCAAACCATGACATCAAACACCCATAGACCTACATCACCCAATCAATGTTGAAGCAATGAATAATTCTCATTGTTCATATACATAAAATTATAAATCTTAATACTCGATGTTTCCCCTTTGCTAACACCTATCAGACCATAATATCAATCATATGCTGATCAATGTCATTCAACATTCTCATTCGAGCAATATTTGTTGAAATCAACATATACTAAAATATAACTCTTAAAGCATGATATTACCCTTTTATTAATGCATGTTAGCCCACAATATTGCACAATAAATGGACACTATCATTTGATTTCCTTAGTCAACTAACACTCACCGACATGTATTAAACTTTAATTTGACGTTCATCAATTTTCAACATCTAATGCTTGTTATTTCCCTTCATCATTGCCCCTTGACCCATAACATTAGGTGTATGCTAATAGTATTACTTGACATCTACAAATGACTAATTTTTTTTCAATGTCCAACTCTTGATGTTCATCGATGTCCAACTTCCAACATCCACAATCACCCTTTAATGGTTCCTGCCATACCATAACTTTAAATGTCCACCGACCATTGCCATTATATATATATAATTAATTGATGGCCACTACTGACTCAAATCTGGTTATGTTTGATTCTCGATGTTCATTATCACTCTTCGTCATGCACATTAGTACAAAATAGTAGAGATATGCTAACCAATATCATCTAACATCTATAGTTGATCAATGTCTAACTCTTCACATTCACTAATGTCCAACTCTCAATGCGTGCCATTATCCTTTTTTAATGCTTGTCAACCCATAATATTAGACATCCATTGACTAATGTTGCCTAAATTTATAATTTATTAGCATTCACTAGCATCCAACTTTCAAAGCATGTTGGTGTCCAACTCTCTATGTATGTTGTCATCCTTCGACGATGTTAGTTTTCACATAAAATCATATATTTGTCGACTAACAACCACAAAGATTCACTGATTCTAACTCTAAACGTTCATTACAACCAACTCCCAATGCTAGTCATCACCTTTCACCAACACTATCAACACCCATTATCACTCATTAACACCCTCAATCTCCACCATAGGAGAAAGTCTATAAGAGTCTTTGGTTGCAAGAAAGAGCAAATCTCTATAACTTTAAACTCAACATGCAGAAGACAAATTTTTATGTGTGCATCTCTCTCTCTCTCTCTCTACTTGCGTATGTCTTGGTGGTAGGGGACATTAAAAAAATTTTTGATGCTAAATTTTATGAAATTGTATAATGATTTAATTGTAAATAAAGCATGCAAAATTAAGTCCTTACTTAACATCTACATAATGGAATACACATTAGCTTAATTATATAGGAGTGTTCAAATCAAAAATGACTTTTTTAGCATGTAAAAAATCATTTTAATGGTTAGGATTTTAAAAATAGATAAATTGAATACAAAAAGTACTTTAAAGGAAAGAGCATTACATGTTTTTCAATTCAACATCAAACTTAATCAAGGGATAAATGTTACAATCTGTCCATTTTATAGGTAATACAAGCAGTCTATTTTATAATTCTAAGTAAATAATACACAATTGATTGGTAATTATTTTATAACTCTCATTGCCGGTCATGAATTCACTTTTTCCTCTTTGTCACACACACACAGAGAGAGAGAGAGATAAGTGAATATAACTATTATAAAGTGATCATATAACTATTAAGGGACACCTTAGCACACATTTGCAAGCCTCTTTGTTGACATCCCAATCATCACCATTTGTGAGTCTTATATTGAGAATGAGATAATACTGAGTAAGATAGAGAAAAAGAATAATATAATGTATTAGAACTTTAAAACAAGAATTACATGGTGATCAACTTGTAAGAAAAGAGCTTAACAATCCAAACAATCTTAGAGAACTGTATACAAATTGGTTTCACACATTATAAATAACAACCCAATCCATATGATAAATCAATGAATATTACTTTCAACAAATCAGTTACAAACAATCTCTAACATTAGAAAAAACAAAAAGTATTTTGAGTCCCCAAATAAGCAAAATATGATTTAATAACAAAAGGGGGCAAATAAATGATCAATAAATATAAGATTGAACTTCAGAAACTACAACGGATATAAATAATGCACATCCTAATTACTCTTCCAGCTTTTAAAAACATATTAAAATTTCTAAGGGCCACGAGCTGCAAAGCAAAAGCAACCTTGAAACTGGTCTTCAGAGATCATGCCACCCCCTTTGTTTGTGTCAATAGCCTCTAAAAGTTTGACAATCTCGTCCATCTCTGGCCTTTTGTCTGGATTTGATTCCCAACATCTTTTCATAATATTTCCCAATGAATTTGGGCAACATCGTGGTATTTTTGGTCGCAAATCCTGTCGGTTGAAAAAAGGAATCTTTAGAACTTCAAATTCATATATTTAATGATAAACCAAGCTCAAATTTTGTAGATAAATAATATCTACATGATATATATCACTTGAGACAAAATGGTTAAGTCAATAAGAAAAAACCTTGGATTTAGATGATTTTTAGAGTATTACAGAATGCAATGTAGTTGTTTTTCAATAATAAAATCACATGTCATTCCTAGTTTTACCACCCACCCACCTTGAATCATCACCATGCTTAGTTATTATACCCAAAATTCTGTTACATAAGAAAACAATATTGGCGACAATTTTACACAATAGAAATTAATTGAAATTCATGATAAGGGGCATTTTCTTCATATAACTAACACAAATAGATCAGCAAGGATGAAATAATTTCAAGAAGAACAAAATAATTACCTTGTGAACTACAGCGTAAGAAACTTCACTGAAAGTAAGCTTATAGTATGGCATGTCGCAAACATATATCTCCCACAAACAAATACCAAAGCTATAGACATCACACTTTCTATTATAAGGCTTTCCTTCAAGAACCTACAAAAGCTTAAGACTCTCTGTCAAAAAATCACTCAGAAAACTTCCATTTTCAAGCCAAAATAACATATTTCAGCTTGAACAATAAAACAATTTTATGAAAGATCACCTCTGGAGCCATATATTGAAGAGTCCCAGTTTCACCTGTCATATCCTTGGGATTCTGAGCTTCAACACGAGCAACACCGAAGTCAGCAATCTTTACAGTTCTATTGGCAGTCAGCAACATATTTTCAGTTTTCACATCTCGATGGACGATCTTTTTTGAGTGAAGATAACTCAGGCTGAAAGATATCAGCAACAAAAATGAATAAGATAAAATTTCCACATAAAATGAAATGGTAAGGGTAAATCATTCTCACCCATGAGCAAGATCTAATGCGAGCTGAATCACAACCTTGAAAGGCAGCTTCCTTCGACTGTGTCTGATAAGATATTGTTTCAATGTGCCTCCAGGAACGTATTCCACAATAACACAGCATGCTGGTGCTGGAAGTGAGTTACTGCTTGGGATTTTCAGGTCAGCGGTTCCCATCGATGCTCCAACAAACTGTGACAAAGAATGATGAACTGATAAATTATCCAGATATAAATAAAAATTGAAACTTGATGAAAACACTTGCAAGATCCAAAACTAATACCAAAACACTGAATTTAGCCTCGACATTGAAAAAAAAAGTCCCAAAGATTAGCAGTTGGGAGAGTATCTCAAGCAAGTTTGAAATTTGAGATAAATTAATTCTTCTTTATATAAATTGAATGAGAAGATAAGTATTGAAAAAGATACGACAGATTCCGAATATAGAAAGTATAGAACAATAAAAAAATTACCTTTGTCACATGTAGGTTGTCAAGTTTGTGCCACATAGCAACTTCTTGTTGAAATGATGATCGAAGAGCAGCAGTAACAGTATCTGTTGCATGTTCATCTGCTCCCCAGTCCAATAGTTTCACTAGAATAATGGAAGTATGTTAAGAAGTATGTAAGGGATTACCCTTAATAAGATTAAACTTATTTAATTAGTTTTAAGCTTCATTTGGTATGACTTTCTTACTGCTTCTTAAAGTAGTTTTTTAATAAAAAATTAAGAATTTTGTACTAAAAAGCAGCTTTAAGAAGAAACAAGAAAGCCATTCCAAACGAAGCCTTAGTCTGGAACTCGAACATTTACAAAGACACAAAACTAATGCGGGCCGTAAACACAAAAGCAGGATTTTGATGTCACAAGCACTAGTTGGAAAAATATCTTGCAATAATACCATAACGAAAAGAGGTAGAAAAATATGTAGGTTAATCCTTAAGAATGGCATTTTATTTTATTATGGACATTTTATCTTCATGCACCATTACACCTTTTTGAGCACATTTCATGAAAAAAAGAGCAATGTTGCTACGTACGGGCTGTAAAAATATTTCATAAATGATAATGATAATGACAATATAAGTTTGAATATTAGATTATGAAAGAATGCTGAAGGAAATCTCAAAAGAAACAAATTGGCATGTGCAAACTCATGTAAATTTAACTATCATAAATTAACTAAGAAACATAATATAATGATTATTTCAATTTCTGTAACATCAACCAAAGTTAGGAAATACAACAAAACTATCGTCGGAATTTCCGGCAGTAAAATCTTGATAAAATGATATTGCTATTCTTATCTCCAACTTTATATGAAATTCACTTCAGTAAAATCTTGATAGACCATCGGAATTTCCGGTAGAAGTATATCCGCCGGTAGAAGCGGCGGTGTATCCGTGGGTAACTTAGTGGAGGATTTTCTGGCGGAAAAAAAACTGGCAAAAACGTCGGTTTTTGCAAAATTGGTCATAACTTCCAGCGGAAAATGCGCCGGAAATTACCGGCGGAACATACGGCCGATTTTCTACCGGCTTACTTAAATCAGACGAAATATTTCGGACGGAAACATTTCAGCAGACAATCCACCGGAAAAGACCATATTTTCCTTCCGCGGTCGTCTTTCTTCTCATTTTCACTCCTGCTCATTTTGCTTCGATCCAGTTCGCGTCTGTTGCCTCCTGTCAAATGGGTTATCCGCGCTAGAAATTTCGACGGATAAACCACCGGTAAGGGTGACTCGTAAACGACGAATATTGCTGCACAATTCTGCCGGAAATCCATCGGAAATATTTCCGGCGGAAAAATTCAACCACAAAAAGGTTTCCAATGCACGTTTTATCGTCGACTACATTTCCGCCAGAAATTCGCCGGAAATGCACCTTTCCAAGCGGAATTTTTCGATTTCCTGCGGATATGGGCCGCTAGTAATGAGAGATTTTTCGGCATGGTTTAATCTCTTCATATATCCCTTTTGTAAAATTAGTAGATTATTATATGTTTGTAGGCCATAACATAGGTGGACCTCACCCAGCCACATAAATTTATGCATTCTCAACTTTTTTTTTTCTTTTTTTTGGGTGATTTTGCATCTTTCCATATCTTGTTCGTCAATATTTTTTCTCGTTACAGTAAATAATCATACTCTCTTCCATAAGCGATGCATTGAATTTAATCATGCATACAGATGAAAAACATGAGAATAAATCATGTTAACAAAAAAAAAAAGCATCTACAATAACAAATATTAATTGTATTCAAGAGCTAGCAGGTAAATACAGGCTCATTGATGCAAGAAATTCTTGATAAACACTTAGTTTACCTGCAACATCTTGACCATCATAAATGCCTCGAAACACCGTACCATGTGTCCCCTGAGCTACAAGATACCTTATTTCAAGCTTAGAAAGATCAATTTCCCATTCCTTCTTGGATCTTCTAGAGCCAAGAACATCATTCAGCCAAATCTTGGAAAGTTTTTTCTCCAACTGAATATCTAAGCTTTTGAGATCAATCTGATCAGCCCTAAATAAAATATCCCTATTTTTGAAGCTCCCATGTCCTTTCAACTGAGACATTGATCTTTCCATAGCCTCAGCACCAACTACTCCAACGTTATTACTATCCTCTCCCTTCCTTGAATCCATTCTGCCAAAACTATCTAGTTACAGAACAAAAAACCCATCACAGTTGAATGAGCGTTGCATTTGAAGGAGAAAAAGTTTCCACCTTTATTTTCTGGGAAGTCAGTTTCCTACCACAAATGCATCATAAGGACACTACGCATCAATTCGTATTCAGCAGAATATTGGAATTGGAAAGCTCAAACCGCTAACTTTCTTCAAAAAAATCTGAACTACGAAAACCCGCAATCTGGACGACTAATTTTTACGAGAAAATCAACATCTACAAGCAGAGAGAAAGAGATATATATCGATCCAGCATAACAGAAAAATTGCCGCCACAGATGAAATCCTCTGTGGTGCAAATCGAGCCGACCATTAGTTAAAAGCCGGAGAAAAGAAAGGTGGGAGAGAGAGAGCGAGAGATTCCGGTTCTAAAATTAGAGATCGATAACAGCTGAACCACTCACCAGCCGAAATGTCTGTGAGAACGACGAGGGAAAAGAGCGGCATTTGAGCCATTGAAAGGAACGGAGGGAGGCCCTGCTTCCTATTTTGTTGGGATTTACATACATATCATTTTATTTTATTTATAGATATGATTTTATTTTATGCTACTTATATATCTAATATCTAAAATTTTAATATTATATTTATGTCACTCATATAAAATTCTAATATCAAATATATCACTAATATATTTTATTCTTATCACTTATACCTAGGGGTGTCAATTTCGGGTCACGGGTCGAGTTCGGGTCAAACCCGGAACTGACCAGAGTTCAATCGGGTCGACCATAACCCGACCAGGGTAGGCAAACGGGTCGAAAACATGGACCCAGACCAGACCCATCGGGCTGTCGGGTTGACCCGACCCGACACGGGACGCGAGCTCAGGCGCGTCATTCTAGGTCCTACTTTGCACACAAAATTTAAAGTGAGTTCAACCCATGTAGTGAGAATTAGAGAGGCGTCGAATGCTTAAAAATCTATTTGGTTTGAAGTAAAAATGTATCAAATATTTTAACTATAGAAATTTAAAAAATATTTATTTTTTATTTAAAGTAAAAAAAGTAAAATCTTAAAATATTTATAATTCATCATCTAGTTTAAGTTTAATATGTTTGAAAATAATTTGATTTAACTTATTTTTAAATACACTATAAATTCTTTATAATTACCCCTGCAAGCCTAAGCTTGTTGTTGTCCATCAACCACCACGACGTGTCCCACCCCATCAGTCATCAATCGTCGTCAATCACCATGTTCATTAGTAATCACATATTCACATGCATTTGTTGGCCACTACCACCGCCACCGCCCAACGTCAACTACTATCTCCACTGCCAACCACCAGCCACCACTATCATTCGACTTTATATTACATTAGTTTAATTCAAGTCAAACAAAAAATAATAACTTGCATTTATTTTATACTTATTTAAACATCTTTAAAAATTTCAAATGCATTGTATTCATTTTATACTGTATTTCATTTTACTCTACAATTTTTTTTACCCAACTAAACTGCCCTTATGTCAATGTTGTAACTTGATAACCTTTTCAATCATAGTAGGTCAATGGGGATTTATCTTGGGATTCTTTTACATGTGAACTAGGATTAGCAACAAGTTAAAATTTTAAGTGTCTAATAATAACAATATAAGAAAAAAAAATTAAGAACTTATTTGTAGCTTGAGCAAAACCCTATATTATGTTAATGTTGGAGAGGATAATCCAATAATGTTTGATGCAGATGTGGGAGAGATTCTAGTCCCACTTGCTGAAAAGAGATGTGGGATGCTAAGTAACAATGTAAGTACTCTTTTGGCCTCATTTGCCTAATGCTGATATGAGAGGGATTCTGGCTCCACTTGTCATATACAAGTGTGAGAGTCATTAGTGGAAGTGGAGTAATAAGTAGGCACTAAGACATATGTATGAAAATCATTGCATTGCACTATGTTATTGAATTAAGTAGAAGTTGCAATTTAAAATGAATGTTTGAAACTCTGTACGGATTTTGATGTAATATAAAAGTTAAGTGCAAATGAACTTCTAAGACTACGTGTTCTGCAAAGTATTTTGAAGTCCCTATGCAACTAGATTGTAAGTGAAATTGTTGAGCATGTTCTGGAAGTACTATAATGGTTTACTAGTTATCCATTGCTTTAATTTTTATTTATATCATATTTATTTTATTGAAAATTGATAATGAATGAATCAAGATAGGTTATTTACTAAGCTACTTATGCCCATTATGTTCTCTTATGTTTCAAGAAAAGGCAAAGGTTCTGATGAGTAGATCGGGGTATAGAAACATGCTTTAGAGTTTTAAAGGTGGAGGTATTATCTATTTCTTGATCCAATATTTAATTATTTGTTGTATAGACTTCAAAGATCTAGATTTTCATTAGATTTTTGGGGGCTATACTCCATTTGGTTGAGTCTTATTCCAACTTGATCGTGCCCTCTTGATTGAATCATTCTATTGTTCAATCATATCATAATTGAACACCACTTGATTTTGGATATAGACCTATACTTGTGTCATTCTTTTTCTTTCAAGCATATGATTTCTACTCGAATTGCTCTTGCACTTTGCAATTGTAAAGCTCCTTATGAATGTTTAAAACATTTTTACCTTTAAAGTGCTTGAACTCTACTCGAATTGCTCTTGCACTCTGAACATTCAGAGCTCCTTGTGAATATTTAAAACATTTTCATTTTTAAGAGCTTTTACTATTTATAAATATTTGAATCTTAAGATGGATAGTTGATAACTTTAAATATTGATTGCATTTGCATGTGTATGAGCTTAGTTAACACTTGATCATGTAATTCTAACGATATTAGTTAATGGTTTTAATTTGTTGTCACAATATCTTGACTATCATCATTAAATTACGATTAATCTTATAATAATATTCATTATATTTGTTGTATTCTTGAATATTCACGACGGTAGAGAGTGATATAGTTAGCATCTTAGCTTTGTATAAAGATCCAGCACACAAATAATTAAGAGAATATGGTTATAATGTTCATAAGAGACACCATAATTGATATGTCCTCAAAAATTTATCTTGATTGAGCACGAATCTCGAGGCAAAAAGCTAGTTGGAAACTTCAAAGATTAAACTCAGGAGCTCCCAAACTCCGATTTCAACGAGCTTATAGTCAAACTGAGCGTCTCGGAAACACGAACCTAATGACACCAAATTCAACCCAATCCGAGCCCAAATGGGTCCGAATCAAGGGCCTGAAGCGCTGTTGGAAGGTTCAAATCATAATTTGAGTTACCAAACAATCTTTGATTTTAACAAGCTTATACTCGAATCGAACGGTTCGACGAGACAAATCCAACGAGCCAAAGATCTCTAAATTCCGACATCACTAAGGCCTTCAAATGTCCAACTAACGGTGCATGATTGAAGGGTTCAACATCAACCGTCCATTCGATCACTCCCTGTTCGCCCTTGATCTCACGACTATTTACGAGCTATGCCACTCCAGAAAAACTATAAATAGAGCCCTCATTCTTTACAAAGGGGACTCAAGGGAAGAGAGAGAAGAAGAAGGAAAGAAGAAGAAAAAGGGGAAAGGGAGAATCCTCTCCTCCTCGACCACCGACGGAGTTCGTCCTACCGCCCGAACACGCCGGGATTCTGCGTGATATTCGGGAGAACGCATGAATTCTGCCCAACTTCCACGTGATGCTAAAATTCTTCCCAATTTGCAACAAAGTTTCCTCCTGACGCCGAAACTCCGCCCAAGTGAAGCCGGAGTTCTCTTCTGCCACCAACAGACGTCGGACTTCTACCTGACGTCGGACCTTCACTCTTCGCTAAGTTTCTACCCGACGCCGGACTTCTACCGGTTATCGGACTTCATTGAACGTTTACGCGAAGATGGATTTATTTCCATTGTTGGACTTCTACCAGACGCTGTCCTTCTGATCTTCGTCGTCAGACTACAGTCTTTCCAACCTCCGTCGCCCGCCGACTACGGTCCTCCTAACTTATCACTACAGGAAAAACACTGATTTCCGGAGGCATTTTCCGGCTGATTTCCGGCAGCCATGTTTCTGGCGGCTTTTAGACTTTTTTCTGACGGTTTTCTGGCGGTCACATTTCCGACGGCTTTTCCGGCGGCTTTTTAATGTTTCCGGTGGCTTTTAAAAATTTAATAAAAAATGAATAAAATTTTAAGCATTTAAATGATTTAACAAAAAATTATTAAAAGTAAAAATAACTATTAGCTTAATTTTCATCTTAAAATTAATTAGTTAGTTATTTTTTATTAAATATTATTTTTTATTTTAAATTAATTAGTTTTAATTTTTTATAATTAAAGTTTTTTATTATTTTCCTGTGGGGATATAGTTTAAATAATAAATATTGACAATTTAGACGTATTTACTTCTTAAGCAAAGCGGTCCGTCGTTTGAAATTCCACACAAGGAACCAGTGTTCGAAACCCCTTACACGTTGGAGCGCGCGCGGGGAGCTGGCGGCTGCACGCCGCGGGAGACGCGCGGGGGCAAATCGCCGGAGCGCGGGAAGCAAAGGGTGATGCCGGAGCGCCGGGGGGGTTGAGCCGGGATCGCGGAGCCGTGGGAGCGGGTTTATATTATTTATTTATTTTTTAATTTGATCGCGCAGTTTAAGACCGCCGATAAGCCGCCGGACAAAATTGCCGCGGAAAAACCGCCGGAATTCATTTTCCTACGCCGTTTTTACCGGCGTAATTTAACCGCTGGAAAACCGCCGGAAAACTACAAACCGCCAAAAAAGGTTTAATTACCGCCGGAAAAGGCCGCCGGAAATGGGTGATTTTCCTATAGTGTATGTCGCTCACTGACTACAGTCCTTCTGACTTACGTCGCCCACCTACTACGGTCTTTCTGACCTCCGTCGCCGCTGACTACAGTCCTTCCTGACTTATGTCGCCCGCCGACTACAAGTCTTCCCGACCTCTGTCGCCCGCCGACTACGGTCCTCCTGACTTACATCGCCCGCCAACTACAGTCTTTTCGACCATCTGTCGCCCGCCGAACTACGGTCCTTCCCTGACTTACGTCGCCCGCCGACTAACCAGTCCTTCTGACCTCTGTCGCCAGCGCGACTACAATCCTCCAACTTACGTCTCCCACTGACTACAAGCCTTCCTACTCCGTCGCCCACCGACTACGGTTCTCATCGACACAAACGAACATGTCAAATAGTGATTCTTTGATTTACATCATGTAATGTAATTTATAAGATGTACATCAAGCTAAGGCCTTCTCCCAAGGAAGGGCCTCATTTGTAATCGACTGCAAATACTAGTGGATTCGTTCAAACTGGGCGCTAGGTCCCGTGATTTTTTCCCCTTTTTCAGGGGTTTTACACGTAAAAACTTGGTGTCTCATAAAATGCTAGACCCTCTCTCCTTATCTGATTGCGTGCGGGATTTTCGTATAACGTTAAGACGAAAAACTTTATATTTCTCCACCGCCGCGATACTCCTGACGCAACAATAATTTTTATGTGAAAGCCCCTG